AGTGGGTCCCATCAACAAGGTTCCAGGACCTGGAACACTTCAACAGAAGAAAATGCTGAAGCAGCTTGCACAGTTGCTTCACAAACTTCCATGAGGCTGATTCTGGCTTCAAGATGGAGCATTGGAGTTTTCTTTTTTGTTTGTTTGTTTGTTTTTTTAAAGAACCTGCAGTTGAGCTTTGTGTTTTGTTTTTGTTTTCTATTTGGGGGCTACATGGGAAAGAGCTTCTGAACTCTTTCCTTTGTGAACTCCCATTGTGTTCCTGTAAAGTCCCTTTTCTTTCCTAATGTTGTAAGTTACATTTTCATTAAGCCCCATCCCATCTTCTTTACTGTAAAAATATTAAAAGGCTGTTTCCAAGTGGGACGGCTAATGAAGTTCTAATTATTGCAGACATATTTTTGAGATGTAAAAAAAATTTAAAATTAAATGATAAGTCTTAGAGGCGAGTGAGGAATAAAATGGATGTAAACATTTACATGGGATGCATTAGAATTCTGTGTGTATTGTCTTTTGGTTGAAACAAATTATGAACAGTGACTAATAATAAAAAGTCAATACTCAATGATTTAAAATTTGCTTCCTTGCTTCTTACACATGGATTAGAAGCCTTGGATGAATTTTATTCTAGAGCTTTGAACTAAACTCATTAATGTATTAATGTTACTTTTGCACAGAAATCTCACCCAGAGAGGAATCCGAACAACTTAAAAACTTTTAGGTGTTGGAGAAAATTACCAGAAACTAAAAAAAAAAAACTTTTAGGTGTTACAGTGAAAAAGTCTTAAGTTCAATCAGACATTTTAACTAAAATATGATTACTTCCATGCTTATCTTTTCTACATAGTTGAATTCTCAAACAAGGCAAAGATGAAACATATCAAGATGAAATGTATGTTTAGGGTGGTCGTGGATTTTAGTTAGTCATAAGCTTCTTTTTGTGAATTGTTCAAGCACATCTGTGACTGGGAAAAGGAAGGCTTGACCAGCCAAAATGAGTTCTATTTTATATGAACTCTTTTATATAAATAATTTTTTGGAGATTGGAAGCTTTAGGTTTTCTATTACTTTGATGATCCCTCACAGTCCTTTTGAGAAGGGGGAGGCTGTGATAATCCCCTGATTGAAAAGGAGAAGGGTGTAGGCCTTGGCAATTATCCAGTTTAGGCAGAAGTGCCCTTTGGCACTGTTTGGCACCCTTTGGCAACATTTCTATAATCTTTGCTTATATATGGCTTAGTTAAAATTCATCTTTGTTTTTGATACTAAATTTAGTTGTCACCTTCATCTAATGTTGTTAGATGAAAATATATAATAAAAGCTACAATAGAAAAGTTTAGCCAGTCATAGATTTCAGATATGTACTTAACAATACAAGAAATATTCAGATTTGAACTTCAATCCAGAGGCACTAAATTAATTTTTATCACTTTTAAGTGATAAAACCAACCCCCCCCGTGCAATTGTCCCCATATTTGGAAAAACAAATGTTCAAGGAAAAATTTCTTCAAATCTTCAAACAAGGTAAGTACTGCCTATTTATTTGGAACCAAAATAAGGAATATCCAAAGCTGCTCAACTTATGGTAGCACAACAAGGGATTTAGGCTTAAAGATGACTGTGGATCACTGAAGGAGTAAGAATTAGATATAAATAAGTAAATATGTCTTTTATGGTTCCTCTACCAAAATATGATAGATATGAGCTTTCCTTCTCCAGACTGTCTTCCCATTTTGTAGTGAAGATTTGGAAAAGCTCCTGGCATGAAGAGTGTGTGTGTGTGTGTGTGTGTGTGTATACATTCTAGGGAGGTGGAGAGGGTATGCACAGCTGCTATAGGAAGGATACAGAAAGGAGAGATTCTAATGACTTCTCTGTTTCTTGGCTTGATCCAAACAGTGATTTTTTTGTAATGATGAACCTGCAGTGAGGGCAGATGGATTTTTACACAAAAAAAAATCCCAGAGGAATTTATTTTTAGGGTTAGTCTCAGCTGTTTACCATTTCCAGAAATTGTAGTTACATAACCCTTGGCATACATTATACACACTGCCTTGAACTCGGGGGAGAGCATGAATATGTGACCTTTGAAACGAAGTATGCAATGTTAATAGCAGTACATAATTTGAAAAGAAAACTCAACTGGTTGTCACTACTGAATTGGATCTTAAATCATGGGGACCATTAAAGGTAGCTGCATCATAAATTATCCCCTGAAACATTTGGGCTGGTGGCTTTCTCACCACCCTCCTCCTCCTTTTGAAAGAGGTACTACTGTTGCCATTAGGAAGAAGTAGTACATAAATAACTTTTAGCACATGCTTTTATTCTGAATTGATGCTTTAGCTCACCATTCCGTTAATTAAAACAACAACCATCTACCACTGCTGTTCCCTAGCATGAACTCAGAGTTTGGTTCTGGAACAAGACCTTACTGTTTTGGGTGATCAGTCAATAAAGAGCATCCACTCAAGAGCTCTGGAAAAGGTAATGTGTAATACCTCAAGAAACAGGCTTTTTAGCCTGAATAAGGGCAAGACCCTGTCTCTAAAAAAAAAATAGAAAATTAGCTGCGTGTGGTGGTGAGTACCTGTAGTCCCAGCTCCTGGGTAGGCTGAGCCAGGAGGATTCTTTGAGCCCGGGAGTTCAAGGCTGCAGTGAGCTATGACGCCACTGCACTCTAGCCTGGATGACAGAGGGAGACCCTGTCTGAAAAAAAAAAAAAGGTTATTTTTTTCCTTATCATTGTTTATCTGCCCTTGATTAAGTCCACTTTTGTCTCCATATTGGTGCCTATTCCTTATATACCAGTGTTCTTGCTGGAAGAAATTACCCAGTAAGCACTGAAATGGGAATCCAACTACTTTGAGTAGTCTTTTTTTAAATTTTGTAGAGATGGGGTCTCGCTATGTTGCTCAGGCTGGGCTTCAACCCCTGGCCTCAAGTGATCTTCCCACCTCCGTCTCCCAAAATGCGGGGATTACAGGTGTGAGCCACCGATGTGGAAGGAAAACCCCCAGGAGGTGGACAAGCTAAGAGCTTTTTTCAGCTTTAACCAGACTCATAGAGGCAAATTATCATTTTTTTTTTTAGTTCCTATCCAGAAGAAGGCAAATTATTTTTAATGCATTAAAATGAGACCAAGAAATGAAGATTACTAGAGATTGAATTTTGTTTTTGTTTTTGAGATGGGGTCTCGCTCTGCTGCCCAGGCTAGAGTGCAGTCGTGTCATCATAGCTCACTGCAACATCACACTCGGGCTCAAGTGATCCTCCCGCCTCAGCTTCCGGAGTAGCTGGGTCTACATGACAAGCCATGGCACCTGGCTGCAAGAGTCAAATTTTGTCTTGACATTTAAAATATCTCCAAATGGATACATATCTCAGAGATGGACACAGACTGCCCTTTTAGATCTCAAACTCTCTTGTACTAAACCTACAATTAATGTATTCTAGACATGCAGTTGGTCTGGACTAGGTAAGCTAAAGCAATGGATAATGGGTGGTACTATCTTTACCAATTCTTCAAAGGTCAAGAAATTATTGTTTTTTGCTGTTTAATTCCTTACAAGTTACTTGAACGTACAATACCTGTGTAAGAGGGGAAAGCTTCCTAGGAAAATTTGGGAGGAATTTACAAGGAGAGTATTTTCTGAGAAATTGAGTGAATCTTAAATTTAAAATTTCAGAATATAGTGGCTACTGTGAGTCCCTACTAGATGTTAGGCACTTTGTATGCATTATTTGCTATATTTTCTTTTCTTTTTCTCTTTATTTTTTTTTGAGACAGAGTCTCACTCTGTTGCCTGGGCTAGCGTGCTGTGGCGTCAGCCTATCTCACAGCAACCTCAAACTCCTGGGCTCAAGCGATCCTCCTGCCTCAGCCTCCCGAGTAGCTGGGACTACAGGCATGCGCCACCATGACTGGCTAATTTTTTCTATTTTTAGTTGTTTGGCTAATTTCTTTCTGTTTTTAGTAGAGACGGGGTCTCGCTCTTGCTCAGGCTGGTCTCGAACTCCTGAGCTCAAACGATCCTCCTGCTTCGGCCTCCCAGAGTGCTAGAATTACAGGTGTGAGCCACCGCACCCGGCCACTATATTTTCTTAATAACTACTAGGCAGATATTAATCTCTACTTCACAGTTTAAGAACCAAAGCCTTAGATCAAGTAACTTGCACAAGGGGATAGATTTAATAAGGGGTAGAACTGAGATTTGGAAGCAGGCTGTCTAACTCCAAATTTGGCCCACTGGCCATGAAACTACTATCATTGCAAGAACTTAAAAAAATATACTAACTTTTTCTGACTTAGCCTTGCAAATAAGACCATTTTACTATATTAAATCTGCTCGAGGAGGAGAACAGAATTCTGATCTCTTTGCTACATGAAGACAAAGGGAATTAAAATATGGCTGGGAGGTGAGCTGACGTTTTGTACGAGGTTGGGTTGAACTTGCTGAAGAAGGTCGTGGGCACGCACCTTTAATAAGGAAGAGAAAGGGCCTTACTAAGGTGAGTATCCTCAGCGGCTTTGCAAGGGAGGCCGACAGGCCAGTTTTGAAGTAGAAAGAGGAAAGTGGGAGAGGGAAGTTATAAAAGCCACCCTTAGCGGAGGGCAGCGTCCTGTCACAATTGACAGGTGCAGGCCCCACCTGCCCCTTCTTCCAGCTGGACTTCGAGGGCGGGGATACCAGGAAATAACCCTCCCTGCGCCCCAGTCCTCCAAACCTACGGTGGCGGGCACCCGAGGCCCCACGCCCTGCGGCGGCACCAGATTGCCCCGCCCCGTCCTCGCCTCCAGCCGGCCAGGATGCGGCGCCCGGCCCCGCCGCGCCCGCAGCTACGCAGGTCCGGCAGGGCCGCGGGGGGCGGGGCCTGAGGCCGTGGGGGGGCGGGGCCGCCGGCTGCTCGCGCGCGCCGCCGAGGCTCCGCGCGCCGTCGCGCCGGCCGGGCGTCCCTGAGCAGCCTCTGCCGCCGATGGGGGAGGTGGAGCCCGGGCCCGCGGGCCCGCTGGAGCCCCCGGAGCCACCCGAAGCGCCCGCGAGCCGCCAGCCGGGAGGGATCCGGGTCCTGAAGGTGAGGCGGGCGAGCGTGCGGGCGGGCTGGGGAGGGAACAAGGGAGGGCAGAGGCTGCCGACGCCCCCGCCCCGCGCGGTGGCCGAGGCTGCCGGCGACCCCCGCCCAGCGTCAGTCAGTCGACTTCGCGGCTCGGCCGCTGCACAGGCTGCTGGGGGCGCCCCGGCCCCCACCGAGGCCTCCGCGCCGCTTCCCCGCCGAGGCCTCGGCCGCCGCCGTCCCCACCGCTGCCCATCCCTGGCCGCGCGCCACCCGCCTCGCAGGCCCACGCCTTCGGGCCGCTGGCCGCCGCCGCCCACCGGTGCTTGGCCACCCCGGGAGCCCGCCCTCCCTCGGCCGCGCTCGGGGCCTGGGGCCGGCTCCGGGGGGCTCCGAGGGCCGCCGGCTCCGGGCCCGGGAGCGGGGCTGGAAGTACGCAGGGCTTTCTCCCCGGACACCTGAAGACATCACCCCAGCGGGAGGATGGCGGCGGCGATTGGCCGGCGCTGCGGTGTGCTCGAGGCTGCGCTGGTGGAGCGGGCGCGCTCTGCCCTGGGGGCTTGCACCGAACTCATGACCCGGCGCCCCGCTCGGAGACGCCGGCGGGGGAAGGAGGACCCGCCCCGCCTGGGGAGAGAATCCCCGGACGAGCTTCATCACGGGGACTCGCTGGGCGTGTTGCAGAAGGGAGGAGGGGCTGGGCAAAAAGGGGCACTCCTGCCCGCGGGAGTGGGGCTGACAATCCGGGGAGACGGTAATGGGGGAGCCGTTATGCAACAGGCAGCTAGCGGGGCTTTTGGGCAGGAATGGGAGGATAAGAAAACGGATGCAGGGGAGGGGGGAAGTGGAGCCTTGAAGGTGATGACAAGAAGTTTAAATGCACAGGAATGCACAAGGTGGGGAGGGGACTTTGAAGATGGTTGAAGGGAGGGATTGTGGGAGGCTAACTGGGTGGAGTTTTCTACTAGCATTTGAAATAGTTGCAGAGAAATTTTTCTGTAGGTCAAATGTGCAAACTAGGTGTCCTGCTGTCCTGCCGGAGGTGGAATAGAATTCCTTCTAGAGTTGTAGAAGAGGAATCGGCAGGATTTAGAAGTTATCAGGGAGAAAGAAGGGGGGGGGAGGAAATTAGAAGATTTGATGTGTTTCAAAAATACTTTGAAACACAACGGAAAAACATAATGTCAAATACATTAAATAATAGTTGTTCATTGGGATTGAGGTTGAGCAATATTTACGTTATTAAGATTATTAGTAAGGCCATCACAAAGATGGGAACACCAAAAACAATAATAGATTTGAATGAACTAGTGAATCCATGCAACAACATAAACTAGAACTCTGTAAAATATAAAACAGTTTTTTTCTGCTACCACTTCTCAATCTTAACACAGAGACTGAAAGAAATAGCTTCGTACTTTACCTTTGACTCTGCATAAACTTTATACTATTTATTGGACTTTATAAGTTGCCAGTATAATTACCCAAAGACTTGCAGGTATAAATTTAAAATGATACGGTCACAAAAATGTGAACTGTGAATGAATATAAACAAACATCAACTGGCCTGGCTTATCAGGGAGTGGCAGGTCTGAGAGAGAGTTAATGCCTTCAGGCCTAGAAGGTAAACAACTTTGGCTTTCTTGTTAGTTTTTTTTTTTAGTGGTGAAGGAGTGAGTTGTGACAGGAAAGGAACTGAGCAATGAGGACCTTTATCGAAGACAACCTACCATTGGTTCCCTGAGTTTCCAATCTAGGGATCATTAAGATTCAAGAAGTTGACCTTGATTGCAGTGCTGAGCTAATGCTGTGGGATGCTGACAGTCCTCAAAGGCCTTTGCATTCCTTGCTTTATTGCATATGCTCAAGACTTTAAATAATCCTTGCAAATAACTGATATCCGTTATGGAGAATAGGTGCTCTGTTCCACATACAGTTCTCTTAAGTGGTTGAGTTCTGTGCCAAGTGAAACTGAAAAAGAATATATAAGTAGAGTTGAAGACTTTCTCAATTGGAAAAAAGTCACGATCTCACACACATTTTTCTCTGAAGATAACTTCAAAAAAGACTTTTCATTATTTTTTGTAACTCTCTTAATAACAAATCATGAACATCTTTATTGTCAAATAATACAGATCTTCATAAAAAGGTTGGTATGACTTAACCAGTATAACTTAGCCAGACTAGATCTAGGTCCATCTATATGAGGTATTGGAAAATTTCATTCAAAATGTCCCCTCAGATTTATTTAGTGAATTGCTGAAACCTGGGTTATAAATTTTCCAGATGTTTCCTACAATTTTGGGATTATGGGTTTTTTTTTTACTCAGTCTATAGAAGATACGAAGTTACAACTAATGTGGTCAGTTAATGCCATGAGATTCGGTTTTTCCAAGAATAATTTTTTTTTATCAAAATATATGTGGTTTTTTAAACAATTCCAGAAAATTTTTAATTAACTGAAACATTTCTGTCCCACCCCTCCCCACTCCTTTCAAAATATTTCATAACATATGTATTTCCAGAGATAAGCCTATATTGTTTTTAAGTTTCAAATGCAGAAACATATATTCTACCTAGGAGTATTCCACATTTTAATAGAGCTAACTAAATATGGAGAGTTACTTTACCATGCATATGTTAGTTTTCATATGTGTTTAATAGTTTATTACCTTTGAACTGATCATAGTCCTCATATATCATCTTTATTTTTAGAGAGTTGAAAGTGTGAAACTGAAACAGTGGGTGCTTAATTTGTGGCATAGTCTCAAGACTTTTGCTTTCTAGAAAGATCTTTAAATCTTAAATATGCTCCATATAATTGTTTGATGTGGGAGGTGATTGTAGTTGTATTTCCTCTTGGATAAATATGTGATAACAGTTCTTACTTAAGAGTAAGGGAGAAAATGAGGTTTTCTCAGTCTAGCAATTCCAATGGAATGGTGATTCTAAAAGCTGAAAGCAGCTCAGAGGACAGTGTCATCATCAGTACTGGCTGCTTAAAAAGGCCTTTCCGGCAGTTACCTGATGTGTGTGTTAGGCAGTGGATCAAGACATTCTTTGAGAAGGAAACACAGGTTATTCAGCAGTGGCTAATAATAGCTAAATAGTCCATTTAGTTGTTGCTACAAGACTTTGCTTTGCTTAGTACCTAGGCCTTTTAAATGCCCATTGATCAGGTCTAAGAGAATGATACCTACTGAAGTTCTAACTCAGCAGTTTATCTTCATAGGGTGGAGTGTATCAGATAAGACAGGGGACAGATCCTTTGAACAAAATGATGACTAACAACATAGATGTTTTGATAATATAAAGTTCCTTAAGAAATTTATAATCCTAAGGAAATATTATATACATGCACTAAAAATGACTGTTAAAAATTCTCATGGAAGGAAAATTATGTATGAATTAATATAGTACTTTCTGGCATCTTTCTTGACTTTTCTAAGATTGAGAATGTCAGCAGGCCATTATTTGACCTCAGAAAGTTTTTCTTAAAGAAGCCTGTTGGTGGTTGTGTGGAATAGTGTGTTCTTGTTCTTTCCTCTCCACTGAGTGCAGAATGCAGAACTTCTTTAAATAAATATTGCTGTACTATATAAAATATCTTTCAGATGGACCAGTTAATATTTCTCAAAGGTTAAAAAAATAAGGAATATAATTATTTAGTGGTAAAAATGTGGTGGTCCCTGTGTTTATGCAATAAGCACTTGAAAGCCCTTTAATTCTGAGATATTCAGCTTTGAGAAAATGTACTTGATGAGAAAAGAGAGATCTAGTTCCCACTTGTAGCAGGGGTTATCCTACTTCTTTAAAGTTAGAATCAGTAATAATCCTCATGTCCTCATGGTTTGTTTTTTTTGGAGACAGGGTCCTGTTCTGTCGCCCAGGCTGGAGTGCAGTGGCATGATCATAGCTTACTTAACCTCAGACTCCTGGGCTCAAGTAACCCTCCTGCTTCAGCCTCCCGTGTAGCTGGGACTACAGGCCTGTGCCACCATATCACTCTGGCTAATTTTTAAATATTTTTGTAGGGATGGGGGCTCCCTATGTTGCCCAGGCTGATCTCAAACTCCTGGCCTCGGTGATCCTCCTGCCTCCCAAAGCACCAGGATTAAAGGCATGAGCCACCACACCTTGCCCTTCATGGTTTTGAATAACCAAACCTAAATCCCCAAGATGTGCAAAATGATCAATTTACCTGAGTTATCTTAAATTTAAGCAGTGAAGCCATTCTCAGTCTTGTTTTTTTCCTCTCACGTGGGAATATCTGCTACCTTTTCCTTCCCCTTTCTTTACCATCTTTAGAAATTTAAGTGCTATAATTACCCTCAAATATTTAACCTCAGTAATTAGAAAAATAATGTTTGCTTTATTTATAGATATTTCTGTTTTCCAGTGAGGAATGCTAGTGAAAGTATTTTATTTACTTCTTTTCACTTTGCAGTCGATACAAAGATGTAGAGTTCTCTATAGAAAGGAAGATTTTTTTCCCCCAAGTTTGTTTAACTTCTTGCCAGAGCTAATTGTGCTAAAGTACAGACTGGGAATAAATGGCAGCTAAAGTCTGCAAACGTCTCTGTGCCACCCAGGTGTTAAGATACTACAATGGGTTCTCAGTGGAGAAGAGAGGAAGAAATGTCAAATAAATAAATAAAACCCATTGTCCTACATGTAGTATTAGAAACATACTCAAGGTGAAGAAGTTCTGCTGAGGAGAGAAGAGTCATTCTCTCTACGTAGGAGGGGAGATTGGGGATGGGACATATGGTTGACTCCATAGAGAGGGTGATGTCTGAGTAGAGTTTTGAAGCATAACTTGTCATATGAACAAGATGGAGAAGGACATTTCAGACATGTCGCAGAATTATGTACTAGTAGGTGTGTTTGGGGAGCTACAAGTAGTTGGATGTGACTGAAACAAAGTGAAGGGCAGTAGGGAATGAAACTGGAGAGGTAGGTCAGTGGAAAATTCTTTTTTATTAAAAAGAACAGAAATAGCCCATCATAAAAATAGAGCAGGCAAATGTTGATCTTTAGAAACTTGTTATATTGGCTGCAGCAATTGTTTTTGCTTTCAGATAACTTCATAATATATGAGTTTCACATACATAAGTTACCAGCTGCAATTTTTTTGAAACGTGACAGGAATGGAAAGAATATTTGTGCAATATTATGCAGATACCGAACTTGTTTATTTGGGATATGAGGCAGAGGGTTAGGAACCTAGGGAAACATACAAATTTGCATAAAGAGACATGTACAGAAATGTTTATGGCAGCATTGTTTCCAGCAGCGAAAAGTTGGAAACAAACTAAATGCCATCAATAGGAGAATTGATAAAGTGCAATGTATTCATATAATGGGGTAGTATTCAAATGAATGAACTGGGCATATTAACGTAGATATATCTCTAAACCAATGTTGAAAGCACCACATGTACTCACCATCAAATTGGTATTAGCTGATCAACACTTAAGTGCATATATAGTAATAACATTCATCTTTTGTCTGGCAGATGTGGGAAGGAGGAGGGGATGGGTATATACAAACATAATGGGTACGGTGTGCACTGTCTGGGGGATGGACACGCTTGAAGCTCTGACTCGGGTGGGGCAAGGGCAATATATGTAACCTAACCATTTGTACCCCTGCAATATGCTGAAATAAAAAAAAAAATAAACCAATGTTGAACCAAACAAAATTGCAGGGTGAAATAAATGTAAGTATGTTAAAGTTTAGACAGAATTTCAAATTAGGTGAGATATAATTAGGTGAGACATATCTCACCTAATTTATGTATCTAGTTTCTAGATATGTACAAACGTGATAAACATATTAAAAATTTGTGGAACGATAAGTGCCAAATATAGTAGTGTGTTTTTTTCTGGGGAGAGGAAGGGAATGGGATTGTGGTGGGATACCACGTAGCTTCAGCTACGCATGTAGAAACGTATTCTATGTATTATATGTTCTTTAGAATAATGATCCGAACTAAATATGGCAAAATGTTAAAACTTGTGAAAGTTGGGTAGTCGGTACCTAGGTATTTTGTTATTCTTGACATTTCTCTGAAAATGTAAACAAAAGAGAGAGTCAGGGAGGTTGATGGGTGGAGACATGAAAGCTTGCAATAAAGAAAATTAAGTTTTTCCAGTTTTAAGAATGGGCATGGCAGGTGCAAAATGCTCCACAAGAAGGGGGGATGCTTGAGCAGAGTGTTGGTGAATATAAAGTAAAGAGAGGTGAGGTGAGGACTGAACAGGTCTCATTCAGTCAGATGTTCTAGCTAATGATTTCTTTCGCTTAATATTTTTTTAGAGAAATATGAAACGCAATGGAAGCAGAAATTGTTTGAATAGGAGAAGTAGGTTTGGTTCTCGAGAAAGAGACTGGCTGAGAGAAGATGTGAAGAGAGGCTGTGTTTACCTTTATGGAGCAGACACTACCACTGCCACTACAACCACCACCACCACCTCCTCCTCCTCTTCTTCCTCATCCTCCTCTGATGTACATCTCGTCCTTTGCACGGTAGAGACACCGGCATCAGAAATATGTGCTGGAGAAGGAAGAGAAAGTCTTTATTTACAGCTTCATGGAGACCTGGTCAGGTGAGGTCTGAGTTTACCACTCTAATTCTACTGCAATATAAGTAATAAATGTGTCTGCTTAGAAGTGCACTTTAGGATTTTAATCGAGCTGGACCTGCTGTTGATTATGAGAGTCACTAGCTTTGACAAAAGATTTGTCCTTGGAATGCTGGCTTTATGATTCCTGAATTTAAAAACTATCGGCAAAGGAACATTTGAGAGTTCTTTCATTTGGAATATACCATAGGTCAGATATCTAAATTTAAAATAACTATTTTAAAAGTTATTTTTTTTGGAAAGTATAAATAGAATGAAATTGAAATGTATAAAAGAGTATATAGAGTGAGAATTCCTTTTCTCTCCCCCATTCCCTACTACCCAGACCTTTTCATGAGGTCAGTTGTTATCATCAGTTTCTTATGCATCCTAGGGATATTCTGTGCACTTATAAGCATTTATATGCTTATGCACGAGTATGTGTCTCTATTCATATATAAATTTTAAAGGTAATGCTACCATATGCAACACATTGGTGACTTAGTATCTCTTAGAGATCGTTCCATGTTAATATTTATATAGTTATCATTTATTTAATGGCTGTAGTAGTATTCCATTTTATGAGTGTATCATAATTTTAGCCAATCTCCTATTAATGGGCATTCAAGTTATTACCAGGTTTTTGGCACTACAAACAGTGCTGCAATGAATATACTTGTTCCTATGATGTCTGTCATATGTGGAAGTCTATCTGTATGATAAACTCCTAGAAGTGGAATTATTATTGGTTCAATTTTGATAGATATTGTCAGATTTCTCTTTACAGAAGTTATATTTTCATCAAAAATATAAAAGTAGGGCTGGGCCTGGTGGCTTACACCTGTAATCCTAGCACTTGGTGAGGCTGAGGGGAGAGGATAACTTGAGTCTAGGAGTTCAAGACCAGCCTGGGCAACATAGTGAGACCTCATCTCTACAAAAAGTTAAAAAGTTAGCTGGGCATGGTGGTGCATGCCTGTTGTCCTAGCTACTAAGAAGGCTGAGGTGGGAGGATTGCTTGAGCCCAGGAATTCAAGGCTGCAGTGAGCTATGATTATACCACTGCATTCCAACCTGGGCAACAGACTGAGACCCTGTCTCTAAAAAGAGAGAAAAAGAAATGTGTATATATATGGGTGTGTGTATATGTGTGTAAAGTATATTTATTTCCCCACTTTCTCCAAAACATGTTAGTATTAAATTTTATATATAAATATAGACACATGCATGTGCGA